AGATGATCTGCTCAGGTCCCTTCCGACCCTAGAAACTATGAAACTATGAGTGTCTGTTGGCCAGGTGCTGCCCTCTGCATACTTTGGCAGCACAAATGGTATAACAAGCAAACTGCTCTGGTTTTGTCACTTTTCTGTGGTGGGGGTACCAGCCTAATGGTTTGAGAAGCAAAGAAGCTTAGGAACTTTTCCTGGAGGATCCTGAAACTTGGGTAATGAGGCTGGCACCTTAGTGACCGTAGCTGTGGAGCGTGGACTTGCCTTCCAGCCATCATGCTCTAGGAGGGGAGTTTGCTGCCATAATGCTGTATGGGGTACTAGGGATCTCATGTGAGTTCCTCCTTATTGCAGGCATCGCAGTTTGCAACGTCCCTTCCTCCTCTGTAGAGGAGACTGCAGACTCTACCCTCTGTCATATCTTGAACTTGTATCGCCGGGTGACTTGGCTCCATCAGGCTATGCGGGAAGGAAATCGGGCTTCAAGCGTTGAGCAGATCCGAGAGGTGGCTGGAGGTGCTGTGCGTATCCGTGGGGAGACACTGGGCATCATTGGCCTGGGTAAGAAATGGTAACTTGGACTGAGAAGGAAACTGAGTGTCCCTGGGGACACTGTTGGTAGCTTCTGGACATGCTGGATTTCCAAGTCTGTAATTCTGGTGACTTAATATGTAATCTTGCTACTCTCTGAAGCCAAACATGTAGCGCAGCCCGTGAGTCTCTGCCTTTCTTATACAAATGCTTGGAAAAGCTGACATTTTCAAACAGCCCTCTTTGGCAGCCTCTGCATGTGCTGGCCTTGTTGGGAGAACTTCATGTTGCTGCGATACCAGGTCTTGCTAGAAGACTTTGCTTCCAGGCCATCTCTTTTCTAATCAGCCTGAAATGCATATGTTTAGAGTGCAGACTGAGTGTGGGTTAAGCATAAAGAGCTCCCCTTGGGGTTGAGCACTGTTGGCTATAGTGCGTGGAAGGGTTAGTTCACATCAAGGGAACAGCACAGAACTCCAGTATGATCATCTGCTCCTCCGTGGGCTTCTGTGGGGAGGAGTGGGGAGAAGGGATGGGGTTCCAAGAGTATCCAGGAGCAGTCCCTGCCTAGACCCCTGGCTGTGCTGTGGGTTGTTGCATTCATTTGACATGAGTGTTTTCTCCTGTGAAGGCCGTGTTGGACAGGCCGTGGCCCTGCGAGCTAAAACCTTTGGTTTCAATGTGATTTTCTACGACCCCTATCTGCCGGATGGAGTGGAACGGTCCCTCGGGCTGCAGCGAGTAGGGACTCTGCAGGATCTTCTAATGCACAGCGATTGCATTTCATTGCACTGCAGCCTGAATGAGCATAACCATCACCTCATCAATGACTTCACTATTAAACAGGTGCAGCAGAAACTTGGTCTTCCTCCTTTTGCCTCCCTAACCCCTGCTCCAAACACCCTGGAAATGAATGAGAACATAGGCTGCTGCTTTCGCAGAGGCTGGGAGCTTGTGAATCTTGCTGGCTCTGCTGTATGGCTCCTGTTGCCTGCAGTGGCTGGGTGCAGGTGGATGGATCTGTGCTTGTTTCAAGAGAAAACTTGGCACGGACTCTTTGCTTTGTAATTTGACATCTAAAATGACTGTTGTAGGTGGCTACAGTTCAAGATGAATGAGAAGTTTGTAGTTACGTTTCAGATGTGTAATGGATGCTGATTAGGGCCAGGAGTAGTGCAGGCCAGTAGTACAGTTCTGTGAGTGTGCTTTGCTCTTGGGGCTGAGTGCTCTGTGCTGTAGCAGTCTCTGGCTCCCCCCACCCCTCGCCTGATGCTTTTTAGTGCTTTCTTACAGCTGTCTGGTTTGTGCAGCTGGCCTTTTTGCTTGTTTACTCGAGTAACTGATTAGAGTGGTCTGCTAAAGCAAAAAAAAGTGGGGCACTCTAGGGTGGGAAACCTGCGAGCTCCTCTTCTGCCTTTCTGTGCCTTCAGTGTTTGTACTGAGTTCTCCAGGCCCGCTTTGTGTGCCCTGGTCCTTCCCAGTCTCTGCAGGATCCTGCTCGTTTCCATCCATCTCCCCCAAATTAATGCTGACTCTGAGGAAAAGGACATTTTCACTCCCCACCCCCCACCCCTCTTTTTATTTTCCCCTCCCCAGATGCGCCAGGGCTGCTTCCTGGTGAATACAGCACGTGGGGGCCTTGTAGATGAGAAGGCCTTGGCACAAGCCTTGAAGGAAGGGAGAATCAGAGGGACAGCACTGGATGTGCATGAATCTGAGCCCTTCAGGTAATGTCTGCTCCTGTCCTGTGGCTCTTCTGTACTGGGTGATTCTCTGGTCTTGGTCATGTTATAGTTACGCTGGGAAGACAGATTGGGATTCCATCTGGGGGAGAAACAACGTGTTTGGTCTTTTGTCCATATCCTCCCCCCCCCCCAACTCCCTTTCCCAGCTTTGCCCAGGGGCCCCTAAAGGATGCTCCCAACGTGATCTGCACCCCTCATGCTGCATGGTACAGTGAGCAGGCTTCCATAGAATCCAGAGAAGATGCAGCTAGGGAGATCCGCCGAGCTATCACAGGTAGGTTCCTTGGGAGGCCTGGGATGTGATGGGGCTGCTGGGATAGGCGCCATTCCTTGGTTCCCTGTTAGGACTGGGAAATATTAATGCAGACTTCTTCCTGAAGGCCAGGGTTGCTGGGCTTGTGCTTCACTGCCTGATTCATTATTTCCTGGAAAGGGAATGCATGTTGCTGATTGGCTGTTTGACTTTTAAGGGTTTTGTAGCTGTTGCTGAGAGGAGTCTTTGTTTTTTAGCTTGTGTTATGGGCAAGACCAATGTCTTTCCCTTCCCTCTGGACACTTGGCCTGTCACTTTGCAGGCTGCATGGCATGCCCGTAAGTGCCCAGTATGTGCTGGGGAAGGTAAGGGCTGGCAATGGCAAATCAGCTGTCCCTTTCCTAAGATTCTAGGGGTTGGGTGGAGTGTGTTTGAGTCCCTGAGAATCGCCTGGATGAGATGTGGGTATGGGGCAGATCTTCATTTAGATCTCCCCTTTTCTGTCCAGTGGAACTCACATGGGAAATGACGGAGGGTCCCTTTTTGCTGCTTTCACCTGCAAGTACGTTGGGCATCGGTACATTTGCTCCTTGTTCTTTTACCTTCTTGTTGCCACAGGTCACATACCCGATGCCTTGAAGAACTGTGTTAACAAGGAGTATTTGTTGTTAGCTGCTCAGTGGTCCAATATCGATCCTGCAACTGTTCACCCAGAACTTAACGGAGCTGCAGCTTACAGGTGAGATACGGGCTAGTGCACATCATGCAGGTGCTTGTGCGTGTGCTTATGCACGCTGACTCCAGTGTCTGGGGTGTGTACTTTCTCTGGGAATCTGATAATTGCATTTTGCCTGGCAACCGATCACATCCTGCAAGCTGTGTGGTATAAGCTCCCACAAGAAATTTTGTCAGCATCGCTGCTTTAGCTGGCTCAGAAGCACATAGCTGCTTCTTCTGACAGTCTGTGCCAGCGGCGAGAACCCAGGGCCACGTAGATATATCCACTGCACCAGGTTATCTTGCAACAGTTTTGAAAGGTTGCGTGTTATAGAGGCTCTTCAATATGTGAAACCAGCTGGACTCAAAAAAAGGATCTAGGGTAAACCCTAGGAATGAAGCATACAAAGAATTACGGCCTATGCGCAGAACTTTCTTCTCTTCACCCCAAGACAGGACTATAAACATGAGAGCCAACGTGGTCTAGTGGACTAGGCAAAAGACTAAGGCAGATCCTAGAGTTCTGTTTGTCTGCTGTAGGCTTTCTGTGTGGTGCTGGGACAGGTTGCTTCCCTTCTGTTTCTGCATCTCTAACATAGGGATTTAATTCTTCTCTCCCTTCTGGAAACATTAGGGACTGTTATTGTTCGTTGCACACTTACTTCCAAGAGGTAAAGGAATACTCTTTTCTCCCAGAAAGAGAGTTGTGGATAATGGGAGGAAAGGAAACGCTTTGTCCAGAAGCTGTTAATTTTTCTTTTTACAGCCCAGTGAGTGGTATCCAGCAGTTTGTGCCTCTTGGACATAGTGTCAGGCACTCGTCTGGGATGTCTGAAATCCGCTTTCTAGCAGTGGCAAGATCTGTATTGGAAATGTCTAGGGGCATGACAAAGCATTGCTGAAGTCAGTTGCTGAGTGAGTGGTGCTCTGGGAAGGGGTGTTGTGGTAGCAGTGTGTTACTGGGTTTCTGGTAAATGCCCTCTGACAATATGGCCAGGATGGGTGCCCATGCTGTAGACCTTTGTGCAGTGCAGCACTCCACCTTGCATCTCCTCTGAGCTGCAGTGGGCATGCTGATGGCACAGGTCTGTCCTCTCCCTTGGTTGTGATCTCTGAAGACAGGTGTGTAATCTCCTCGTGTTTTCTGTTGGTTTCAGGTTTCCTCCAGGAGTAGTGGGAGTAGCTGCTCCTGGCTTGCCAGAGCCAACGGTGTTGGAGGGGATGGTGACTCACGGGATACCCTCTGTGTCTCATTCCACACCACGTACCCCTTCCCCAGGAGAGACGAGCAAACTGGACCCAGACAGAGAGATCCCTGCTGACCAGTAGCATCTTCTCTCTCATTTCTCCTCTGGCAGCAGAAAAAGCAGGGGGAGATCTCCCTGCTAGGACCTTCCCTAACTCCCTTTGAGACTGTTTCCTATTCATATGGGACAGGAGAATGCATTTCATTACTGGCAAACTTTTAGCTCTTGCCTTTCAACAGATATTTTATAACCTGTTTTAGTTTTAATTTCTTGGTGAATCTGTCTTTTTGTCTGGGATAGAACAGCAGTGACCTTGCTTCCCATTTTGAAATTCTTAGTTTGACCTGTAGGTTTCCATGTCCCTGTCTCCTGTTGTTTCACAGGAAGGCACCTGGGCATGCTCAAGTGCAGGAGCACTGGAGCTGACTGAACACAAAAGGCTCCCAGTGCTGCCAACAGACTCTGTAGGTTTTCAGCAGTGACTTGCACAGACTGCAGATTTGATAGTTTTTGGACAGTGAAAGTGAAGGTGAAGGGGGTGGGGGAGTGCTTTGAAGCAAGACTAGAGAACCTGGAGAGGCCAAGCAGACTGTGTCCTGATACACTGCAGGGCAGGGAGATGTGACCCTGTGCCCAGTGCTGTGCACTGCCCTGCGTAGCCTGACCCTGCTGTCTGTGAGCACAGGTGTAGCCATCATGAGGAGGACTGGTGCTTGGTCACATGAAGTTTAGCTCCTGCAGTGCTGGGCATGAACACAAGGGAATTTGAGGCTAAAAGATCTAAAGGATTGACAGCAGTCACTTGCATGCTGGCAGCCCAGGTGTTCATGAGGCATCAGGAGAGCTTGCCCTGCAATCCTTACACTGCTCAGGGAGGGTCAGAACTGGCAGAAATAGGGAGAGCGCAGCAAGTTGTAGCTATTTGCAGCTGCTCTTGCTGTTTTTTTGTGCATGTACCTTGCAAACTAATGCTCTTCATCAAAAAGAATGTTCTGCTAGAATACTTGGTATGGTCTGTGCTAAAGAGTTTTGTTAGCATAGCTGTGTTGGCTTGGAATGTGAAAAACATCCCCCCTCAAGCAGATGTAGCTAAGGTGGCAAGTCCGTGTAGATGAGTCTTTGCAGACAGAAGAGTGCTTTTCTTGCTATAGCTAATGTTTGGAAAGGTGATGTAACCATACTGGCAGAAATGTCCTGCCAGCACGGCATGGAACATTTCTAGTGTATCTGTACCAACAGAGACTTTGTAGTACTGACAACTCCCTAGAAATCAGAAAAGGAAAAAACCTAAGTAGTTCACCTGTCTGGTCAAGGGCAGGATTGTTTGGGACATTTAAGAACGGACAAAACCTTGAAAAGAAGAGTGAGGCATTTGTCACTTTCCTGGGGCAAGATGATTCTTCAGCTTGATTCAGTGTCAGACTTCTACTAATATTCCTCTAAGTTTCCTTTTCTTCACTGCATCCTCTCTCTCCTAGTTGTGCTCTCTCCCCACACACTGAGGGTTTTCATGCCTGCAGTATTTCGAAATTGTCTAAAACTTGACATCTCTTGGGCTGCAACAGTATGTGTTTCTGTTGCTTGCATATGTTGGAATCCAGCTTCCTGTGGGAGACTTGCTGTGGGGGGGGGGGGTGGCAGCGAGGAGCACAGATCTTTGTTCTTCAGTTTGAGGAGAAGGCTGTTTCTTGTTTCCCAATGAAAGGAGCCTAGAACTTGCAGAGGGCACAGAGGACATGACCCA